ATATTTATCACTTTTGTTTTTGAGGCATCTCTTGTTTCAGAATTGTGACATCTGATTTTTAGAGGAGTATTGTGTATGGGTGTATGTTAGAGTTTTTTTAAAATTTCAATCTAATTAGTAAAGTGAGACATCGTAGTAGAAAGGGTTAACTAGAATAGTGCCATTGGCAAAATTATCTTTTAATGTCATTTTTTAAAAAGATTCACTTATTTATTTTAGAGAGTGTGAGCAGGATGAGGAGCAAAGGGAGAGGAGGGAGAGAATCTCAAGCAAATTCCCCGCTGAGCACAGAGCCAAGTGAGGGGCTCAATCTCATGACCCTGAGATCATGACTTAAGCAGAAACCAAAAGTTGGATGCTTAACCAGCTGAGCCACCCAGACAGCCCTAATATCATTTTTAGTGCCTCTTTTTTAGACTTAGGTAGAAGAAGGGCATATGATCTAGCTTTTTTGTATTGAAATAATTTTTGCTTGTTTAAAACAGAAATTAAAGAAGCCTATAAAAGGAAAAAAATAATGAAAGAACGATTTAAACAGGAAGAAAATATTGCAAGTGCAATGGTAATTTGGATAAATGAAATACTGCCCAACTGGGAAGTAATGTAAGTAAGCAGACTTTTCCTGAATTCCAGTCTGTCTCCAAAGATCTCATGTTTCTAATCCTCTATTTTTATTACTTCCAACATGTATCTTATGCTTTGGCTAAATGATACTGTTAATCAGTGTATGAAAAATTTCATGATTATTTCTGTGCCTTTAATTTTATAAATCCCTCAATCTCTAATACCTTCCTTACTTACCACCCTCTATGCCTGTCAGAATCTTACCTATCCTTTGAAGATATCCATCTGAAATGCTGGTTGATCCATGAAACGTTAATTTCCTCGGTTACCATATTAATTCTGACATATCCTCTGTCACAAGATGCACTATTGATGTAATGGCAGGTTTTTGCAAAGAAAATATTAAATATGTACTTTCATTGTAAGATGGATTTATTAAATGTTAAAGATTTTTAATATGTTTTCTCATAATCATAAATATGCTATATATGATCTTTCCCTTCTGTAACGTCCCATTATAGTTTGAGACTAATGTACTTCTTGCTTTACTTTGCCTTTTATTTTCCGATAATGTTTTTGTACATGCCTTATCTTCCCTCTACACTGGAGGGTAGGAGGGAGATGTATTCTGCAGTGCCTAGTGTAGGATATGCATAGGAAGTTTGTTGAATATTGGTACAATGTGACAGCAAATTAGGCTCTTTACTTAAGTAATCACATTTGATTCTTACAGCCTTTACTCCCACTTATAGAGAAGCCCAAGGTCAGAAAGGTTAAATGATTTGCCCAAGGTTATACAATTAATGAATAGTTAAACCAGATTTGAACTCAGGTCTCTCGGACTCTAAAGCCTACACTTTTCAGCAGACTACACTGCCTCTCAAAGACAAGGGCCTTACCCATAGTAAATACCTTGTGGTTTTCTTTTTGGTACTGAGTTGACAACAGATTTTTATGTTCCTTTTATCCTGATTTTTGTGATTGTCCACATATTTCTGATTCTCTCATTGTGCCCTGTAAATGGCAGTTGTAGAAGGCAGCTCCCTTTAAATTACTATTGTCCTCCTTTAGGGTGCTGTGTGTTCTTTAGGTTTCTGTTGCCTACAAACATGAACCCCACAGAAAGAATGCATCATATACTTAACCATGTTCTTAAAAATCATTCAGTCACTTGGCCACAGACTGGTAAACCATCATGCAACTAGTGTTTTCGGTATAAAAAGTAACTCTCTCCTTTTTTTCTCCCCCTTTAATTCTAGGCGTAGTACGAGAAGAGTTCGAGAATTGTGGTGGCAGGGATTGCCCCCTAGTGTTCGTGGGAAAGTTTGGAGTCTAGCTGTAGGAAATGAACTAAATATCACTCCTGGTTTGTATTCTATATTCAGTTACTCCCACACATACGAATAGCCATCTCCAGAGTTACAAAGCAGATTAGTAGATTGGCCATTTAAAAAGACATTACCATATATAATGTCATTTTAAGAGCATGCTTCATTCCTACTCCCTCTAAAACCTGGTATGATTTAATGAGTAAGTTATTACATAAATAAGATTTATGGGCTTTCCTTTAGTTGACAACCATCAGTAATATTATTGACATCCAAATATCTTCACTGCAGGTAACTTCTGGGATTCTAGATAGCAGTGGATGTATAAGTATATAAAGTATATACAAGGAAAAATAAAATAGTCTAATTGTGGAAAGGTTTCCCGTCTATTCAGAAAAACATAAATATTGGTGGAAGGCCAGAAGTTTCTTTTCCTACATCTCTTTCAGATTTTTTTTATTTGAAAATTTCAAGTTTAAGAAATAGAAAAGTAAGACTCTCAAAGAACTGTTTTATTTTCTTATGCTTTTTAAAAACCTTAGAAGATAGAAGTAAAATGTAAAGTAGTTTTGATGCAGTAAAAAAAAGTTAGATAAAATTAAAATAATATGAGATAGAGGAAAATATAAAGTAGCTAATAATAAAAAGTGCTGACTAGGCCTGAGGGATAATGACAGAGCTAGACAGTGGCACCATAGGAAGACTCAGGAACTCTGGGATAATAATGTGTCTAGATTGTTGCTGTTACTTAAACAATGTTATTTACATACTGATTTTTTAAAAGTCAAGCAATAGTAAGGTACAAATTGTATGTTTCTTCCCACTCTTCTACCCAAACTCCTGCTTTTGATCCTGCTATAAATACAGGTTAGCAGTTTCGTGTTTGTTCTTTCAGATTTTTTTTTTATGCACGTAAAAAAAAAGTGTGCATCAACATATGATAATGTTTAAGGCTTCTCTTTCTCTTCTTTTTCCCCCACAGAAAAGAATGTTGCCATAAGCTTATTCCATGGCTTATTTTTTTCACACTATAATCTGCCTTGAACATCCTTCCTTGTCACTACATACAAATGTACATTATGCATACTGTAGCTGCACTGTATTCCACAGTTTGGCTGTACTGTAATTTATTTAATCATTTTCTTAGTGATAGCCAAATCAATGATATATATGTTAAAAGAACATCAGGGTACTGTTTTTTACCTCTCAAAAGTGATTAAAATAAATGAGAATTACCCACATAGGGTCTGACTGATAATAATATAGAAATATTTATCAAAGGCCTCAAAAAATAATCTTTGACCTATTTATTCTAGTTCTAAGAATAAGAAAATTATCAGGATTGGGTACAAAAGCTTTTTTACAAGGATGCCCATTATAGCAAATCAGCATTATATATATAACTGGACAGAATTATAACAAAAATCTAAATATTTATCTTTAGTCTTAAAAGTGATGCCAACTTTGAATGGCATGATTATGATTTTTTTTTAAAGATTTACTTAAGAGAGTGAGAAAGTGAGAGAGCATGAGCAGGGGGAGGGGCAGAGGCAGAGGGAGAGGAAGATAAGCAGACTCCCTGCTGAGTGAGAAGCCCGATGTGGGGTTCAATCCCAGGACCCTGAGATTATGACCTGAGCCAAAATCAATAGACACTTAACTGACTGAGTCACCCGGGCACCCCTATGAATGATTTTTAACATTGATTTTCACAAGTATCCCATAACGAACATGTTACTTTAACCAGACTTTTTTTTTTTTTTAATTTTAAAAATATAATTTAAAGGAAGAATTAAGTGGGGTACCTGGCTGGCTCAGTCAATAGAGCATGCGACTCTTGATCTTGGGATTGTAAGTTCAAGCCCCATATTGGGGGTAGGAGTTTACTTTATAAAAAAATAAATAAAGGAAGGAAGAATTAAGAATTTTTAATTTAACTTAGGAAAGGTTAGAGTCTACTTAACCTAACCGTTCCCTCCAAATAAAACAAAGGTTTGTTTTGCCCTCTGTGCTTGAAACTGATTAAAAGGAAATATTTTTACATTATAGTCAGAACTCTCAGATAAAATCCTTGACATTAAGGATTGTTGGACATATTGTAATTGTTTAAAGTCTTAGGAATCGGTTTTACATACAGATGAGGTGATAAAATATTGAGGGCTATTTGAAATTTGGTTTGTAGTTTTGTTGAAAACTTTGACTTTAGAATGTTAAGTGTCCTAATACCTTCTACATTAGAATATTGGTGAAGTTGGTATTAACCTTTTGTGATAGTGTAATCAAAAAGTTCTTTTTCAAGCTCAAAATTTATAAAGTTGGTAACATAACTAGGTCATTTACTTTGAAAGTAATTTTATATTTTCTCCACTAAACACTTCTATATTCAGGAATGGACTAGGTGATCATTCTTTTTTATTAGTGGTAGGAAGGAAGCTAAATTTCAATTGAAGTAAATTTGCTTTTTTTTAAGATTTTATTTCTTTTCAAGAGAGAGAAAGTGAATGGGAGGAGGGAAAGAGGGGGAGGCAGAGAAACTCAAGCAGGCTCCGCACTGAGCATGGAACCCAATGCAGGGCTTGATCTCACAACCCTGAGTGAGATCATGACCTGAGCCAAATTCAAGAGCAACTGACTGACCCACCCAGGCACCCTGAAGTAAATTTACTTTTGATGACTTTGTTTCCTTTTAATGACTCTTAACAGTTTTTGACTTTTTACCTATTTATTTTAATCATGAAGTTTATAACCGTTAGAGAATAGTAGAACAAGGGTTAGTAGAGTAAGAATAGAATAGTAAAAGAGAGAATAAGAACAAGGGTTCTAAAGTCAGTCATATGTGATTCAAATCTTGGTTCCACTATGCATTAGGTTTGTGACCTTGGGCAAATTACTTAACATCTAAGAGAATTAGTTTTATTCATCTGTAAATGGAGTTAGATTAGTAGCTATCTCAAAGGATTGCTCCAACAGTTATTTGTGGTAATATAAAATCATAGTGAAAGTGAAATTTGCTAAGAGTATGTACAATATCATCATTGTCAGAAAATGAGAAAGTGAAACATACACTGATCTCAAAGAGTTCTCAATTCATGTCCAAGATACATCTTTAAATCTGCTTCAAGTTCTACATTTGTAGATTCAGAATAACATAAATGAGACATGTGGGGTCAGGAATGGAATTGAACTGAGGTGCAGGTCTTCTTATTGTAGACAAGCACTGTAAATCGTCCCTCCAGAGATGTCCTTTGATGTTTTAAAATGCATTACCATATTTTTATTATTAGATCAATTTTGTGACTCCCAAAGGTGAGGATTTATTCAGTGAGCCCTTCTTCTTCCAGGACAGCTTTAAAATATGAGTAGAATAGTGAAACTGGATGTGGCTTGTTATCAGTTTGAAATCAGAAATTGTGAACTTCAGTTTGGTACCTGATAACTGCAAAAAAATTGTATATCTAAATTAAAAAATTATATCTACCTCTTTTATCAAATTATTGATGGACACAAATAATAGAAATTTTGACTTTTTTTTAAAAAAACGTTCTTTCTAAACCATTAGTAGTAATGAAAAATGAACAGAAGGGAGAAGAGATCAGAATAGTAAGAGTCTGTTTGCAATATATCTAGTCAGCTTTTTTATAAAGATCTGATTCTTGGCAATATAAGAATACTTATTATGGTACAGTCATACATTGGAATACTGTGCAGTTGTTTAAAAAAAAAAAAACTAAAGCAGATTTATTTTCCTAATAAAGGGTAGTTTCCAATATAATAAAGCAAGATGCAGGTCAGTACTGTAATATGTGGCCACCCTTTTTTTTTTTTTTACGGGGAAGATAGATCTGTATATACTTGTGTCTGCATGTTTTCATCTTTAGATTTCTGCATAGTTACATCTGAGGGAAGGAAATTTATTTTTCATTTTACACTGTTTTATACTATTTGAATTTTTTAAAAATCGTATTTGTTGTATTGCCTTTAAACTTTTTAAAAAAGATTAATCGAAGCAAAAATGTTCTTGGCACTTTAGGCAATATATAAATGTTGGTGTTTGGTAAGAAATATTTTTTGCTGTTCATCTGTCATTGAAATGTTCTGGTTTTTTTTGTAATTTAGAGTATCAGTAATGGTTAGTTAGAAAGTAAAGGCAATTAAAGTCTGAGAATTGAGAAGAAAGTTGTTTCTTCTGTTCTTGAAGTTGTATCGAGATCCTGCATATAGATGCATAAAGTGGTAGTCTCAAAGTGATGGGGCCCTTAAAATAAAAAGATACGAGTAGAGGTTTTTTAATGCAGGCCCTCTGACCAAATCTGAAGTTTAGGTAGTTTTAGATAGCAGTATCATAATGGAGAAAGAAACCAGTTTCAAAAGAGAAGGAAAATAAGCACTGGCATTTATTGAGGGTCTATAAGTTGTCAGGAGCTTTATGAAAATTATCTTGTTTAATCATTAGTATTCCCATGAGTAGGTATTAATTTACAAATGAAGAGAGCCAAGTTCCAGAGTAACCATGTAACTTTCTTAAAGTCCCAAATACTAAAAATCTGGTATTTGAATCTAGGTCTGACTGACTGCAAAAATCGTTTTTCTGCTATTCCACAATGGTACTCCTTTTGAAAAAGCATCTCTTCCTGCCTCATACGTACATTCTCTGTTGTAGCTATTTGGATGACCACTGTACAATATTTTTATTTTCTATCTTTCCAGTTGTGGTAATAGTTTTGGTAGAATCAAGTTCTTCAGTTTGCCACATTTTTGATGCCTGCTATTTTACGTAAAGGGAGGCCTGAGCTGTAATAGGACTTTTCTCTATTTTTAAAAGTAAAAGTTAAATCAGAATTCATTTCCCCCCATATATCCAGTCTGTTAGCTAGAAGGTATATTCTGTAGATTGTTCAGATCTCTGCAATTGGGCTTCTGCCCCCTCCCCCCTCAGATGTTGCTCCCACCAAGATCACCCATGACCTTTGTGCTATAAATCCAATGGGCTCTTTTCAGATTTTGTCTTGCTATATGATACTGGGTAGTTGATCACTTCCTTCTTTGTGGCTTACATCTGAGTGCTTTCAGGATTTTGCATTTATTATTTCATTTAATACTTAAAGCCCCAGGATGTAAGTACTAGTACTATCTCCACTTTATGAATGAGAAAACTGAGGTTAGAAGAGGTTAAGAAACTTGTCCAGTGTGACACAGCAACTCCCTATCCTATGTATACTTAGTGAAATGCTCTTTTTCTTTGGTTTCTAGAACAACTGGTTCTCTTTTATTTCTTTGCATTTCTTATTCTTCGGATGTGCCTCTTCCTGTGTCTACCCTTTAAATATTTGTCTTTCCTGGAAATCCGAATTTCTCTTTTCTTCTTGCCATGAATAATCTCCCTGAACACACTTGTGAATGGTTTTAATCATCTCTACTGATGGCTCCCAAACTCTTTCTCCAGTGTGCATGCACCGCCTTAAGATCCAATTTGTCTGAAACAGAGCTTACCACCTTCCTCCTTCCCACAAATCACAAATTTGCTTCTTCTTCTGTGTTCATTCTCTCAGTGGCATTATTATCTACCCCAGCTACCCCAGCCAGAAACCTGGGAGTCCTAATGAGTCTGCCTTCTTCCCCTTACTCTTTCAATAAGTTTTGCTTTTTCTACTTTCTGAGTATCTCTTGTGTTCATTTCTTCTCTCCAGCTGCACTGCCACTGCTCAAGTTCAAGCCTCATCGTCTTTTGCTTGGACTATTATAATAAAACTCTAACTTCCTTTCAGCAAAACTTCAGCTTCAACCTACCCACAACATTACTGCTGGCGTAATGGACACAGATCAGAGTGTGCTATACCCTTGTACCTCTGGATAAAATCTAACCCCCTTAGCATGCCATTCAGGTCCTGTCCTGTCAGCAACTAGTGCTTGCCTCTGTCATCCAACCTTATCATCTCCTCTTCCTCCCTCACCCCTTATAATCTAAGAGTCCTGAAATCACTTGTAATTCATGCAAATAAGTCATCTCTTTTTTCTCTTGGTGACTTTGCCCATGACGAGAATTCTTAGAATGCCTTCTTCCACCTTGTTCACTTATAAAACTTGTATTTATTCGTTATGGGACAGCTCAGTCATCACCTCCTCTAAGAAGTTTTCCTTTATCCCCCACCTGAGTTAGGAAACTCTCCAAGTGATCCCATGGTTCCATGTATATATTTCTCATGGCATTTAACTCTCAAAGCTGCCTTGTTCCATGTGTGGCCCCAGGTTTACAAATGAACCTTTTCCATAGCCAGGAAATAAAAGAGTAAAAGTTAAAATATATGAATCTATTTTTCCTACTATTTATTAATTTTTATTTTGTTTTCCCCTAGAACTTTATGAAATCTTCCTCTCAAGAGCAAAAGAACGGTGGAAAAGCTTCAGTGAAACAAGTTCAGAGAATGATACCGAAGGTGTGATTTATTCATTTATTTTTTTTAATAAAAATTTCTGGGTGAGAATCCAGTCAGTGAAGATACTAGTGTGATTTTTATCATGTGTCAGGAACTGTAGTAATTGCTTTACAACATTATCTCCTTTAATGTTAATAACCCTTTAAGTAGGTGGTATTATCCTGAATGGTGTAAGAGGAGACAGGGGCTCAAAGTAGTTAACTTGTAAGCAGTGAAGCTGTGATGTAAACCCAGGTTTTGGACCTCGGAACCCAAGATTTATTCACAACAGTAAGACTAATAATTAAAAAATGAAGTATTTTTAAGCCAACTTTTAACTTAAAGATAGGTGGTCTTCTCTCCTCACTTAGGACCTATCTTCTTACTCACTGACTTTCACTCATTCCCTAATACATTATTTATAATTCTTACCATGCCTTAGCCTTTGTTCATTTAATTAACTCATAGACCTCATCTTTCCCTCCACTCAGTTTTTTTTCCTAATCATTTTGGAGAAGATAGGAACACGTTTTTCCTGTTATCATTATTTATTAAATATAGGTAAATTTATTCAGCCATCTCTTGTTCTTGAATAATGGAGAGCTATTTGTCTGCCACTTTTCTTTCTATATTTGTTCTACTTCATAGATAGCAAACATTCGTCTCTTGCCAGTAAGTAAAACTCTAAAAATGAACATGGTTTAGAATAGAGAAGTGGTATATATGGCAGAGTGGTTTTCTATGAGTATGTAAACAACTCTATTAAATTCCTTGAATATATATTTCTATTTTAGAAGAGTGAACAGTAAGGTGGGGAAAATTGACTAAACAAGGTCAGAGAGAAGATTTGATTTTGAGAAGGGTTCATATAAGTGTCATCCTGAGACCTGTTAGCTGTCAGCTATTTGTGGGAAACTAAAAGTGCAGGGAAGGTGAAGATGTAAGAAGCTTTACAATGGAAAGGCCTTAGCTGATTCATAATTCTTTTTGAATTCATTTTATGAAGTATTGAAAGTGTAAGAATTAAAATAATAAGCATTTACTTCTGAGCCATTTTTGTCATGATTAAGTGGTAAAAGTTGCACTTTAGTGGAAATTAATTGCATGTAATGAAGAATTGTTCCAATTAGAAACAGTACTCCAGGGCGCCTGGGTGGCTCAGTTGGTTAAGCGACTGCCTTCGGCTCAGGTCATGATCCTGGAGTCCCTGGATCAAGTCCCACATCGGGCTCCTTGCTCGGCAGGGAGTCTGCTTCTCCCTCTGGCCCTCTTCCCTCTCCTGCTCTCTGTCTCTCATTCTCTCTGTCTCAAATAAATAAATAAAATCTTTAAAAAAAAAAAAAAAAGAAAGAAACAGTACTCCGTCTAAATTACTTATTTTTTATTACCTATGTGTTTATAATTTGCAGTTGTCATTTAACTTTTTTCAAATATTACTTATGCCTCAATTCTACTCTTTTTTGGACATGTATGTTAGACCATTTATCAGTGTCCTACAAGTCTTTCGCTTAAAAAACAAATTTTTTTCTTTCTGTGCCTCAGTTTAGATGATTTTTATTGACCTGTAATCAATTTTCACCTATCTTCTTTTTTCCAGTCTATTAGATCTGTCCAATGAGTCTTTAATTTCAGATATTATATTTTGTAATTCTAGAATGTCCACCTGGTATTTTTTGTAGATTCTTCTATTTCTCTGTGGAAATTCTTCATCTTTCCATTCCATACATTTCTCCCCGTCTTTTCCTCTATTTTCTTTAACATTTAACAGTTAATATTCTTGTTTGTTAATTCCAATACTGGGTCATCTTCAGGTCTGCTTCTGTTGGCTTGTTTTCCCCTTGATTATAAGTCATATTTTCCTGCTTCTTTGCATATCTTAAAATGTTTTACTCTATGTCAGTCACTGTATATAAGAAGAATATATAAACTGAAGTTGATGTTTCCCCTGAAGAGGAAGCATGCTGTTTTCTGTCAGGCAGTTGGATTATTACCTCAGTTCAATCAGTAACTGAGCTAGATTAGGCCAAGGTTTCAGCTTTAGATAAACTTAGTTCATCATGGGTTTCAAACATCTTGGTAGGAAGAACTGTCCTATTTTTATTATAGGCTTCTCCCTCTCCTGAGATACTCTTCCAAAGGCCTTGTAATTTTGGGTGATTTCCTTCTGCCTTTCCAGCCCAACCTTCTGCACTACACTAACACTCGGCAGAAGTCCCATAGGGGTAAACGAGTTTATACATTCAGGTTCCTCCAGATTCTATCACATCAGTCATATTTGGCCATGAAAAAGCTCTTCTGGTTTCTCTTTTCCCAAGCAGAGTACTTTTGTCTATGGCACGCTCAATCCCGAACTCATGCCCAGACTTGGCACATGCTTCCAGGAAGAAAAATGGCTCTTCTCTTTCTGGGATTTAAATCCTCTGGACCTGTCTATGTCCACAGCATTCTTACGCCCTTTTTTTTCCCCCCCACTTAATGCCTTTTTAAAAACCTTGTGCTATTTGAAACTTACTTGTTTTTTCCCAGTTGTTATTGTGGGAGTGATAGTCTGCTCTTACCTTGTATAAAAACTGGAAGTAGAAATCTTTCATATATCTTTCTGATAAATATATAAATATTTTTTTCATGAAAGAATTGCTCTAAGTTCCAGCAAAAGCTGTGTGGCATTTCTTTAAATTTCTTTATTATTCATCTTTTAACTTTCCTTAAGTAACATATCAATACTATGTGATCATTCTGTATGTACAAGATTGAACTGGGTATAGCCAAGTAATCATTTTAATTTTATCTACCTGACAAATGCAGGTGTGTCTGTTGCTGATCGGGAGGCCAGTCTGGAATTAATTAAGTTGGACATATCCCGTACATTTCCATCCCTTTACATCTTTCAGAAGGTGAGGGTTTCTAATCAGTTGTAACTACTTTTTAAATTTTTTTGTAATCCGAGGCAACAAATTCTCAAAAGCCTTTTTAAAAGGCAAAACCATAAAAATTAGAGACATTTATATAAAAGTGTGAAACTAGTAGGAAAATTCTAAAGGAATTTCTGTTACTTTGTTCCATTGACTGAATGCATTGCATTTAGCATAGCCCATATCTTTATTCATTAAGGTGAATTTCTTTGTCTTACTTTTTATTCTGTAAGATATTTGAATTTTAACATTTTTGATTGCTCAGTTGGTAAAATGTAAAGAACATTTTCCCAAATCTTAGTTTTCCAGAATTACTATTGAAATACGAAAAAATGGTTCATAAAAATGATTTTGTGCATAGGCTGTCATTAGTTGCTAATACTTTATGAGAAGTGATTACATTTTGTATGTACTTTATATTTCACACGTGGAATTTCTCTATTTAGACTGATAAAATGAAATAAAAATTTTTATCCTTTAAGATTAAAATTATTAATAAACTTAATTTGATGTAGCTTGATGGTTTCCTTTTGCTAAAATTGTATTGTATGAAATGAAACAGTCTGTTTTCATCATAATCCTATTGTACCAAATCTAGAAATCTTTAAAATAGTACACAGACTGTATAACTTGCATCCATCAAGTGAGTTTATTTGGCTTTTTTTGTTTTTCAGGATTAAATATTTTTATTAATTCTTTAGAGAACACATCTTACAGAGTGTATTTAGCATATTTCTGACGGTGAAACAATATACTAACTAAAACTACTCATTTAGGAAATGCTGAAGTTTATTTAAAAATTACTTATTTGGGAATTAACTTACAGACACTTATTTGCATAGTTTGACATTTCATTTTTCTCTCCTAAGGGTGGCCCATATCATGATGTCTTACATAGTATCTTAGGGGCATATACGTGTTACAGACCTGATGTTGGTTATGTAAGTACTTGCTTCAATCTGGTTTTTGAATATAAACATTTTATCTATCTTATCAAAGTATCTTATGTTGTACTAGCTCCCAAATGTCTGTATCTCTCTGTCTTATTTTTCTCGGGCCTGTCAATTGACCCAGAGACGAATCTTCCCAGGGGCTTGCGAGACTGCCTGCCAGATTTCTGGGAGAGCTACTGGGGGCTTTATTATTCAGTTTGGAAACTTTTCTTAATTGCCACTGCTGTTGGTGTGGTGCCTCCTCCCTATGCCTGTGCCTCTAGAGATAAACTCCTTATATTATGTTGGGTTTGGGGAAAGATAGGCACCTGTCCGTAGAGAATAGAGGAAGGGATTTGCTCCTTTTATAAATTTTCAACCAATCCTTTGGTTGGAACTTTAGTCTTACCCCCAATTTCAGAGGGGCATAATAACTTCAGTTTCTGAGCCTTCCAGATTTGTGGTAGAATTGGTTTGCTACTTATTGCTTCCTCTGCAGATATCTTAGTTTCAACATTCTCCATTTAGTTACAATTTCTAGAATGCTAGTGACATTTTTTTTTTAAGATTTTTTTTATTTATTTATTTGAGACAGAGAGAATGAGAGAGAGAGAGCACATGAGAGGGGGGAGGGTCAGAGGCAGAAGCAGGCTCCCTGCCGAACAGGGAGCCCGATGCGGGACTCAATCCAGGGACTCCAGGATCATGACCTGAGCCGAAGGCAGTCACTTAACCAACTGAGCCACCCAGGCACCCGCTAGTGACATTTTTATTTACTGTTTATATTATTTTCCATTCTCTTTGTCCTCCTAGGCTAATATTTATTTTTTTCTTTAACGTCATTTTAGTTGGATTTGGGAGGGATCAAAGAAAAATGTGAGTGTTCAGTTTGCCATGTTTAATTGGAAGTCATAAAACCTCATCTTCTCACCTTTGTCTTTTTTTTTTAATTTTATTTATTTATTAGAGAGAGTGAGCGAGAGAGAGAGTGCGCAAAAGCAGGGGGGGAGGGGCAGAGGGGGAAGCTCCCGGTGAGCAGGGAGCCCAATGTGGGACTCAATCCCAGGACTCTGGGATCATGACCTGAGCCAAAGGCAGATACTTAATAACTGAGCCACCCAGCCATCCCCAAAATAAAATCTTTAAAAAATGTGAACATTACATGTTTTTACTATTCTATGACATAATACATGAGCAAGAGAGTTTAGACTCTTCATTCAGATTTCACTTTCTCCATAAGGACTACTTGGACCATCTTCTTTAATATAAAATATAATATAATATATAATATAAAACTTGCCCCATTCCCAAACTTGGCACTTCCCCCCTTTATTTGTCCTGTAGCCGTTATCACCTTTTAATGTAACATGATTTATTTGTTTGTTGTTTATACAAAGGTCATGATCCCAGAGTCCTGGGATCAAATCCCTGCATCAGGCTCCTTGCTCAGCTGGGAGCCTGCTTCTCTCCCTCTGCCTGCCATTCCCCCTGCTGGTTCTCTCTCTCTCTCTCTCCCTGGTAAATGAATAAATAAAAATATTTTTTAAAAGAAGGTTTTATTTTTAAGTAATCTTAAAATTACCCAGTATGGGGCTCAGATTTACAACCCTGAGATCAGGAGTCGCATGCTCTACCAACCAAGCCAGCCAGGTGCCCCTATAATGTTCACATTTTTAAGTTGACATTTAAATTTCTTTCATCATGAGTTTATAAAGGATTTAATTTTTAGCACTTGCTAAGTATTATTTTAAAATAAAACTCTCGTATCTTTTTAAAAAAGTGTAGCCAATGGAATTTAAACAGTATAATGATTTTATATATCTCATCCATTTAAAGAAAAACGTATGAGATATGTAGCTGTCAAATAACTATGTTGTACACCTGAAACTAATATATGTCAAGTATACTTTAATTTAAAAAAAAAACAAAAAAAAACAGGGGCGCCTGGGTGGCTCAGTCGTTAAGCATCTGCCTTCGGCTCAGGTCATGGTCCCAGGGTCCTGGGATTTGGCCCGCGTTGGATTCCCTGCTCGGCGGGAAGCCTGCTTCTCCCTCTCCCACTCCCCCTGCTTGTGTTCCCTCTCTGCTGTGTCTCTCTCCATCAAATAAATAAAATCTTAAATAAACAAGCCCTATATTAATATTTTACAAATTATGCAGATTAGCTCTTTGAATTCATGTAAAATGACCACAATATAACCTGACAATGCCAAACCTTAGTGGCAAACCAGTCAGCCAAATCACATTTATTTTATAAGATAAGAGAATAGTATAAACTATGTTGGAATATATATTTCATATTATTTGACAAAAGAGGTTTTTAATTACATTAATGAATAACACATGCTGAATCTATCAGTAAATCACACAAAAGTTTTATTTCTGGAATTTATTCAGTATATCTTGAAAAAAATTGGTAATAGTTCATATTCCAGTTGTGAACCAGCTTAAAAGAACCAAGGGCACCAATCTATATTACTATTTTCTTTATTTGTTCTCCTTGGGACTCTCCCTCAGTGGCTGTGCATTCTTTGATAGAAGGTGGTATGGAAGAGGTGAGGTCACCAAATGAAAGCTGTTACTACTCATCTCTGTTCTACATATAATGAAATTCAGTCCTATTTCTATTCACCTGTGACAGGAAGCCATGAGCTTTCTCCAAACGGTATTTCGAATTATCCTTTTGTTTCACATTTCATGCTTCAGAGCAGTTCACCGTCATAAATTATAGGATGAGTGAGGACTGTGACTTTCACTTGCTACTGTGAATGGAGTGACATTCTTAGGCAAACCATGTGTAGAAAGCAAACGTGTAAATGGAGGATCTGGGAATGGATTCCCTTAAAATAATCCATGATGGGGTACCGTGGACTCTCTGGAAAGTATTCTTTATGTGTTTCCAGGGCGCCCTCTTCCCAGTTTAAGACCACGGCTGTCTAGATTGTTGAATTGTATTCTTTTTCTGCTGTGAGGAAATGGTTATAAGTTCCTTCTGAGTAGAATAAAACTCTAGAATCTTGAGTATCAGCTGTCTGTAGGTCCTCTAAGACAAGCTTTCTCCTTTGCAGCAAGGGAGTAGGTAGTTATTATTTTGCCTGGACTGTGTCTACTGTAAACTGGGGTGGGGCTGGAAGGTCCGTATATCATAATCATAAAGGTGGAAGTGAGAAGACACATTTCCCAGTATCTCAGGGGGAGTCAAACTGTAGACCAGGATTCAGATATTACTGTAAGAACTTTGTAAGCTTTGTAACTTTCCCACATTGATTTTTCATTATAGCTCTCCATTTATCTATAGTGATTATCAGCAAAACTAAAACAAGAAAGATCCATGTGCATGTATGCAAGGGGAATAAAGAATGGGGAATCTGAGTAGATGACCTCCTCCTATGACCTAGGCAGGCATAAGGGAAGGAAGAAAGACTTCAAGAAACAGAAAGGTGGTGGGTTACACAGGTACTTCAATGGGTGAAGTTTTACTACTTCTTTTTTTTTTTTTTTAAAGATTTTATTTATTTATTTGACAGAGACAGAGACAGCGAGAGCAGGAACACAAGCAGGGGGAGAGGGAGAGGGAGAAGCAGGCTTCCCGCTGAGCCGGGAGCCCGATGTGGGGCTCGATCCCAGGACCCTGGGATCATGACCTGAGCCGAAGGCAGTCGCTTAACCAACTGAGCCACCCAGGCACCCTTTTTTTTTTTTTTTTTTTTTTTAAGTAACCAAATGCCCGATGTGGGGCTTAAACTCACAACCCTGAGATTAAGAGTTGCATGCTTTACTTACTGAGCCAGCCAGGTGCCCCTAAAGTTTTACTTCTTAAGCTGAGTGGTCTATACATAAACTGTTGTTGTTGTTGTTGTTTTTAATTGTTTGTGGGGTTTTGGTTTGTCAAATTTTTATTTTGAATAACTTAAGCCTAACAGAAAAGTTGCCCTAGCTTCATCCCACCCCCACTTCCAAGATCCATTCAGAGTTATATGTGGCGTATTGCCTTAGTCTCCTTTAATCTAGAACAGTTCTTTAGCCTTTTCTGTCTCTCAGAACTATAACACTTTGAAAAGTCAAGCCTGTAACACTTTTTTTTTTTAAGATTTTTATTTATTTATTTGACAGAGAGTGAGACAGCGAGAGAGGGAATACAAGCAGGGGGAGTGGGAGAGGGAGAGGGAGAAGCAGGCTCCCCGTGGAGCAGGGAGCCTGATGCAGGGCTCGATCCCAGGACCCTGGGATCATGACCTGAGCCGAAGGCAGATGCTTAACGACTGACCACCCAGGCACCCCAAGCCTGTAACACTTTTGATACTTTTACAGTAGTTTCCTGACCATTTCCTCATGATTAGATTAAGGTTATACATTTTTCATAGAAATACTACATAAATGATGTGCTCATTTTGGTACATCACATCACAAGTTGATAAAACATTCAGAATATTCAGAAAAATTGGACTTTGAAGATACTTAAGAAATAACTTTATTTTTCTTATTTTCTTGTCATGTATGCAAAAGAGTGATACATGATAAATCTGAGTGAGCTTCAAATAGCTCTGTGATTTCATGCATCATCAAATAAAAATTCTGGGAAAGCATTGTCTTTAATAGGCAACATTTTCCTTTTTTAGTGTTATGTAAAGTAGTGTTTCTTAAACAGCATCTTAGATTCAATTAAATATATTAATTCCTTTATTTGCTACCTGTCTGTTAGAGACACCTAACAGTTTGCCCCTTGCATCTAACCCGCAAATTTTGTGGCATTAAGAATATAATTGTGAACAAACAGACATGGTCTTGTCTCTGTACTGTTTTAGTTTCCTATTATTGCCATAACAAATTGCCATAAACTTAGTGGCTTTGAACAATACCAATTTATTATCTGGCAGCTCTGGAGATGAGAAGTCTGAAAGTCAAGGTATTAGCAGGGTTGTTTTCCTTCTGGAGGCTCTAGGGAAGAATCCATTTCCTTGCCTTTTCAAGCTTCGAGAAGCCGCCTACATTCCTTGGCTCTTGACCCCCTACCTCTGTCTACAAAGCCAGTCGTGTAGCATCCTCATATCTCTCTGTGACTCTCCTACCTCCCCATTTCCTTCTTTCATTTATAAGGACCCTCATGATGATTACATTGGGCCCACCCACATAATCGAGGATAATCTTACCCTCACAGAATCCTTAATTTAATCACATCTGCAAAGTCCCTTTTGCCTTGTAAGATAACACTTTCACAGGTTCCAGGGACTAGGATGTGGATATCTTCCTGGGCATGTTATTCTGCCAACCACAGGCTCTATCCTCACGGAATTTATACTCTGAAAAATCAAATAGGGGATTACTGTAGATTTTGTAAAGAGCACTCAGAAGAAGCCAGAGAGGTAGGAGGAGAACAAAGAAATACTGGATCACAGAAGCAAAGGGAATTCTAAGAGGGTAGAAAAGTGCCCATTGGGTTTTACAAGTTATTGGTTATCCTGGCAAGAGGAATTTCAAGATCGGCTAGTAATGGAGTGGGAATCCAAACTGACGTGTGCTGAAAATAAAAATTTCAAAGGGAGCTGAGAATTCTATACTCTGAATGCTCTTTTAGAGTGAAAAACAGTAATTAGAAGACCAAACTAATCTTATCTAAAATAGTGATTGTAGGCAAACCTTCAAAACATTTGGCTGGGAAAAAGAGACAGTGGTTTCATTGTAAATACTGTTAGTGTTGTTTTTGGGTAAGTGTATTATGCAAATCTCTACCAGAAGTAAGTGCCTGATGAAGTTTCTTTAAAGAATGAGCAGCAGTTCCATATCACTTATCTGCTCAGAAATGTACAGCAGTTGTCCATAACTCACAAGCAAGCGTCTGTGTAGCTAAGCTTTTTCCTCAAGGCTTTCTACTGTTTGTAACTGCATCCTGCTTAAGTTCTACCAGTATAAAGATTGTGCTCCAGCTGGGCTGGTCCTTGTGTCTTTGCTCATATTCCTTTCTTTCTTGGGATGGTTTTTTCTTATTTCTTTGTCCTGCTTTTCCAGGAACCCAGCCTTCCTGTCCACCCTCCCACCACCTCTTCTGTCTTAGAACTTCAGCAGCACTTCTCATATATTTCTTTTATTCTTGGTTCCTCACTTTCTACCTCAGACAGAGGTGCTGTGACAATGAAGACAGTCACCGGATTTTCACTACCCTCTACTTTGAAAGACTTCAGATTGAGAGAAAATCAAAGCGAGATTAGTGCACGGAGATAGGCTTTTGTAGCAAGTAAAAGCTGATACTTTCTTTTTTTCCAAAATTTTCCCTAATTCTTTTTAAACCATAGCACATGAACAAGAAATTTAGGATTAGGGAGATTTCATAGTTATTGGCAGGTCCACTGTATTTACTTTCATTGACAAATAGAAAACTTGATTAATTCTACTTTAATATCACCTTATAATTTTTAAGCAATACAATAATATAAACTGTTCAGAATTATTATTGTAAGCACATTTTGATTAATTTCTTTTCTCTTTGAAGGTCCAAGGGATGTCCTTCATAGCAGCAGTTCTCATTCTCAATTTGGAAGAGGCAGATGCCTTCATTGCATTTGCAAACCTCCTCAATAAGCCTTGCCAGTTGGCCTTTTTTCGTGTGGATCACAGCATGGTATGAACATTTGGAAGGAATCGTGTTTTCCTTTGACTGTCAGTTTCTATAGTCTGAATGCTCTTTTAGAGTGAAAAACAGTAATTAGAAGACCAAACTAATCTGATCTAAAATAAGTTTTTCATTGAACTATAGTTTTACAAATGCTTGATGAAAAGACTCAGAAGTGCTAAGCAAGATTTTCTTTTAATTTATTAAGGATTTAATTTCTCTATTTCTAAAGTATACTCTTTAATAACTTTATTGATATTTCTATCTTTAGATGTTGAAATATTTTGCAACATTTGAAGTATTTTTTGAAGAAAATCTCTCCAAACTATTTCTTCATTTCAAATCTTACAGTCTTACACCAGACATATACTTGATAGACTGGTAAGTCATCACATAAATAAAATACAATTAAAAGAAAAGTATAACTTCTTGGGTATTTTAGGAACTAGAGTAAATCTCATGCACATGATTATACATATAAAAACTCCTTCCCTTACAAAGAGAGAAACGCTGACATTTTTGTGGGGAGGCATTTGATTAAGAACATGGACTCTGGGCTAAAATCAGAATCCCTCAGTTTGTGTTTTAGTTTCTTATCTATAAAATGGGAGTAGTATCTGTATCTTGGGTTGTAGTGAGAGTGTTTTACTTGATTTATCTCCTTCAGTGCCTGCATGCTACGCTCTCAGAGGAGAGAGCCATTTCTTTATCATTCTTAACACACAAGAGCTTATGATAGTTATGATAGTGTTTCTTTTTTTTTCTTTCCTTTTTTTTTTTTTTTTAACTGAGGGCTTTGTTTTTTTCAAGGCTTTATCGTGCTTTTTGACAGAGGAGTGATGCCTTATTTAGGTGCTAGTGTCTTTTTTTCAACATTGCAATTACAACTCTTCCTTGCCGAGGAGTCTTGTGAGCCATCACCAGTTGATTATAGAATGGTGGGGTGGTGAATTTTGCCAAAGGGATGGAGCAATTATCTTAAGATAGGTTGTTAAGAGTACATATGAAACATTCAAACCTTAAATCCCATTCATCAATTCGGTGGATTTCATGAAAATGATACTAAGTTTTCATACATAATTAATGGCCTTGATCAAATATGCTATATTATATTCCCAGTTGTTTGGGGCTTCTTTTATTTAAGCTTTTTAAAAAACTTAGTTATATTTCAGTGTGTTCTTTTTTTCTCCCAGTGCAAAAAAGGTGGTTTTATTAAAGCATGGGGACAAGACCCAAGGGCAAAAGAGCTGCTTCAGTGTATATTCTTTTCTGTTTCCACTAGGAACATTAAGAGTTCTTCTGGGAAGGCCCCAAGATAATGGGGAGAAGAAAGGTTTTATGTTATGAGACCCAGAAGCCCAAGGTCAAATACTAAATCTGTAGAGAAAGGGGGAAAATACTCAGTTGTCAGTCTGAGGAGTGTGAACATAAGGCAAACCAGTATCACAGTTGGTAATAGGGAGCAGAATGTAACTAATAATACTGTGCACGTCCTAGGCACTGCTGATACCTGCTGTCATTTTGAGCAATGAATTACTATTCTCTGTACTACCAGGGGTGTGCTTTTATTATGCAATTAAATACGTGTTTATAATTGAAGAAATAGACATGGATTTTTGTTTCACTGCCTTTGTTGAACTTACTACATACAAATCCCAGGATCAATCATGCAAGAAAAAAGGAATGAATAAGTGGCAGTGCTAAAGGCTAGGGGTAGGGAGGAGGGGGGCAAAGAGCCTTTAGTTCCCTTCCTCAAGTTTCATCAGCACTACCTCAAATAAACACGGTCTTTGTAAAGAAAAATGTGTACTTTGGAAGCACCTGGCTCAATCAGTGGGGCATGCAACTCTTGACCTCAGGGTTGTAAGCTTGAACCCCACATTGCGTGTAGAAATTACTTAAAAAAAAAAAAGGTGTGCTTTGCCAAGGCAGCTTCAAGAGAAGTTCTTTAGCACCTACTGTCCCTATTTCCCCAACCAGAATGCCGCCCTGAAGCACCACTGGATAAAGAATGACATGATCAGACATTGTCAGAAAAGATGGGAAAAACCATTTTGGTGATTCTGTTGGAGCTATACATGCTCCAAAAGAAGTAGTAAGTAAAGTTTGGTAAAGGGGGAAAAAACCAGTAGATGTTTGTGGTAGGAGAAAAGAGAGAAGTCAGATTATGATTTTGTATTTAGGTTACTAAAAGATGATACTTGGATTCCTCATACAATAAGTAACTTTTATTGAGCCTTTCTTATGTGCCAGGCACTGTTCTGAATACATTTGTTCCTTTAATTTTCAAAACAATCCTGAGAGGTAGGTAATATTATTCTTTGTTTACTAATGAGGAAACGGAGGCACAGCAAGGGTGGATATCTTGCTCAAGGTAACATCACTAATGTCAGACTCAGACATTCTGGTTTCAGAGCCCATCCCCTTAACCACTAGGTGTTTTTGCCACTCTAATTTGTATTAGGACATGTCTCTGTGGAAGGTTGTAAATTACTTTTACTTACTTTCCTACTATTCAAATTCTTTGAAAGAAGGAGCCATATTTTATTTATCTTTTTATCCCTAATTAAGCACTGTTCTTTTTATAGAGAGATGATTAATAAGTGAATGAATAAATGAATGAAAAATTTCAATGACTCTTTTCTCCCTAATTTTAGGATCTTCACACTATATAGCAAATCACTACCACTTGATCTGGCCTGTCGAGTCTGGGATGTATTTTGCAGAGATGGGGAGGAATTTTTATTTAGGACTGGATTAGGAATCCTCCGATTATATGAAGATATTCTCCTACAAATGGACTTTATTCATATAGCACAGTTTCTAACTAAATTGCCAGAAGATATCACATCAGAAAAGCTGTTCAGCTGTATTGCAGCCATTCAGATGCAGAATAGCACCAAAAAATGGACTCAGGTAGAGTGACCTTTTCCTACTTCTTCTAATGGATGTGTTAAAACAATCAGTTGGCTTCTTATAAAAAAATTTATTTCTCAAATGTTAGTGCTTAATTAAAAAACAGCAAAAAATAATTTTTGACTTTGAAAAGGCAAGAGTTTAAAGCAGATTGCTCCTCTTTCACCTATCCAATAGTATTTGGAAGTTTTATTTTTATGTAAGTCCAGTAACTTTGGTTTGTTTTTTTTATTCTTTTTTTTACTTTGGTATTTCAAATAGACAACAGTTGTATCAGTCACATACTGGATGGCTCAGTTGGTTAGACATCCAACTGGGTGGGTGGCTCAGTTGGTTAAACGTCCAACTCTTGGTCTCAGCTCAGGTCTTGATCTCAGGGTCATGAGTTCAGGCCCCATGCTGGGTTCCACGCTAGGCATGGAGCCTACTTAAACAAAAACAAAAACCACCTACCTTATGCTAAGTATTTGCAATAGAATATAATGTATGATCCTGGCTTTTTAGATGCTTAGTCCTGTTAGGGAAGCAAACATTGGCAGTCTAAGTTAAGTGCCATAAAAGCATTATCACTTGCTCCTTGAATGATAGACCGTAGGCATCATAAGCTCACAGTTTTATTGCTTATGAAAGTGAAATGTAAGAATATGGATCCAGAAAATGTTCTGTTACCAAATAGTAATTTCAGAATATTTGGCCAGTGATGAAAACTGAAATCTAATTATATACCATAAAATTGGGCTGAAACGAACAAGAGGATTTAAGAATAGCAGTCTTCCAGAGGACTTCCAGAGGAGTTAAATATACTAAAGCTTTTTCATATTAATAAACTATAGTTACTTCAATCTCTTTAATCTATGTGGTAGTTAATTTTGAGGATTAATCTTTCCTTTATATAATTTCCAGGTCTTTGCATCTGTAATGAAGGATATTAAAGAAGGAGACAAGAATAATAGTCCTGCTCTGAAAAGCTAATCTTCAAAATTAACAGACTAATTGAAACATAAATAATGTTGTTTTGATAAAAGTTTTTCGTTTCCTATGTAAAAAGCATGGAAGAAAATGTTGGCGAAATCTAAAAGAATCAAGACATGGGAAACTGCTGATTTTGAATTCCATGGCTGAAGTAAATGAAATGAGTAACCGATTGACAGTATTAATAAAAAAGTATTTTGTAGGGAGAGCCATTTTACAAAGGGAAAAGTTTAAATGGCTAGTTCATACTCCATAATTTGGAGTGGAACAGTTTAATGCAATAAACTTTTTTAACAGCTTTGGAGATTATTCAAATTTTTACATCTTTTCTTTTTTAACAATTAACATAAAAGCACTTTGGAGGTCAGAGCAGGATTGTTAACTTTAACTTCCAAAATACTATTTGAAATAAACACCTTAATACAAATATTATCTCCAGTTCCAACCTTTTGAAGATGTTAGAGACCAAGAGAAAGCAACTTTGATTGTAAATTATTTAAGTCACTGAAGTTGTTGCCTTCATTCACAGGTTGGGGCAAATTTGGGTTTTCTGGGAACTGGAAACACTGGTGGGAGCTTGTTTCACATTTATTTAGGTGTTTTTCTACAGTATCAGGTCTGTTTGTTTTTGAAGAAAAATTGTTTCTTAAGTAATTCCTATCACTCAAAGAATTTTAGCCTTTCTGTTTCTAGTCTGAGGAGTTATTCATCTAGTAATTTAAGGAAGCTAACTGGTAGAAGGAAAGTTCTTTGCACTTTAGTGGACTGAAGACTTGATTTTGGAAGTAAGTCCATATATATAAATGAGATTTTTCACTGGTAAGAGTAAAACATATGAATTCTGAGAGTTCTGAAATAGCATGCTACTTGGCAAGACTTTAAACTTTTTAGTTAAAATTCCTTCACTGTCTGTAGAAACAAAATTTAATTCTAGTTTTAAATTCGAAATCTTAATATGTAGCCAAGTCTATGACTTGTAAAACACTGTGCATAATTTTCTAATCAATGGAAATAAGCGTAAAAGAAAAAGATAAAATTAACTTTTTTCTAATGAGTCTAACTTTGATGGTATAGTGGATAAAGAAATTATTAATTATTGGTAAATCAATATGAAATTTATTGTAATATGTTTAATCCTTGAACCTAAAATAAGTCACTTGAGTATTATAAGTGATATCTGTATAACGTGCTCTTTGGTTAATAATTAGATGTACAGTGTGCTTTTATGTTTGCAGTTTGGTTTAAAACAATACTTGAGCATACTATTTCTGTTAGTGGTATATAGTCTTCAAACTAACAAGCCTGACAACCTTGTTAGTTCAGTGACTGCCTCTTTAGGAGTATGGGACCAGATGGTGTCCATATATTTTTACCCCATGGGTCATTCTAGCCTAGGGACCACTAGTGGAACCGTCAGAAGTTAACTCCTATCTTAGGAGCTTACTTAGTGGAAACTGGTATTGTAATAAATATTGAGGGAGTACCCAGGGTCTTAATAGGTTTTAGAGTGACATTTTAACTCTGGTAACTACTTCCTTGATATTGGTGGCCCTGATCAGAGGGAATGTAATCCCTGGCAGTAATCTCACTGAAGTTATATTACCTGCTTAAATTTAATCTTACTTGTGAGTATTTGTTTCCTGAGTTTGACCTAAATTACTGTATTTCTTTTTCTCATTTTTATTATTGTACAGTTTCTTTACCTTTCAAGTATAAATGTGTATATAAAATGTAAATATACAAGGAATTCACTAAAAACCACTATTAATAATTACTGTGTAAATAAAACTTGTAAGCAGAGTAATTACTTGAAATGTGTCTTCATTACTTTCGGGGATAACTGGTTTATTTAACAACATTTGGAGGAAGAAAAAGGAGTAATTTTTTTTCCCCCCAGTTTCTCTTCCAAGGGGTATTCTAGTCTTTCAGCCTCTTGAGACTCTCAATACTGGCAGCTCAAATATTATCCTGTATCTTCCTTTGAACCTCCTATACGGGCAGTATAGGGTTATTCAACATGGTCAGTGTATGACAGGGGTTTTTTGGTTAAAGTATATTTTCAATTAAAAAATAAGTTTTCCTAAAATCTTCAAGATTATGTGAAATTTAATATGTATAACATGTTTCATTAGTCTGTTTTATATAAGTATATATATAATTTCTTCATTGTCCTTTCAGCCCAGGTATACATTGTATTATTTAAGTGCTACTTAGAAGATCCAAGTAACTAGCGTAGTTTTCTAAAAGTCATAGAACATAATCATAATTTTTGCTGATTTATTTTGTAGTGATGATCTTAATATGATGTTATTGGTTTGGGTATATTTGTTTGGTTTTACAAAAGTTAGGTAGCATTTGCAAAAGGGCATTGAGATTTTCAAGCCTCTGACTTAGGATAATAGCTTCCATTGTAGCTTAGGAATTGATGCTATTTTTATCTAGAGCAGTTAATGTTTTAGAGTCTATACTATTGGAGGGTATAATTCTAAAGCATATAATCATGGAATAATTTATATTCATAATGCAGTATGGTTTGATTTTTCTTATTTTTGATTGGATAAAACTATTTTATATTCCATGAGCATATTCAGACAGCAGAGATGGGTGTAAAAGAGGCAAAAAAGCCATGTGACAAAATAGTATTGGGAAATCAACTTTTAATTTGCCATGACTAGTTGACAAAAACAGTGTCAGAAAACAAAATCTTACCTCTGGGGAAAAGTGATTTTTGTATCAAATTTGTATTATTTTGATGTTGTCAAAGCAGTGTCCAAAATATGAATTCCCAAATGTAGTAAAACTTCATTAGAACTGCACTGCTTCACAACATGTGAAAACAAAAATTAAAATAGAAGATTTTAGGGAAACTAGTGACTTCAGAGAGAGAAGAAAACCTGGCCCTTTAAAAATATTGTTTGTTTACTAACAGTGTAATTGCAGTAGAAGTGAATTACTTGGTACTTTGAATGAAAGTAGGAACGTTTGCTAAGCCCTGCTAAACACTGCCTCTTAATATTTTGATAGGCTAAATAAAATTGCAAGACTTAAGAAGTTAGCAAAATTGCTTTTCTTTCCAAACATTCTACCACTCATATTTATCTTCCCTCAGTTCCAATTAGTAAGGTTTTACTGTTTTCATTTCATTCTGTGGGTTGGGTTTATTTTCTAATAAATACCAGAAAGAAGTTTTGACTTTTAAAAAAATTGCATTACAAAGTGTTTTATTTGTTGAACATTTACATAAACAATGCTTTCATGATTTTATTTAAAAATGACTTTTGTACTATTGCATTGTATTTGGAAAATCATTTTTATAATAAAAATGTAAATGTAAGCTAACACAGATTTGAAAAAGTATATAAAATTGACAACAGTATTGTATATATGTTCTCATTTTTCATCTTCAGGCAGAATACTATACACAATGGTATTATAAAAGCAGAAAGTGAAGCTTCACTTTTTCCTGTTCTAGGCAATATTGATAATCAATATTGTAAGTAAATGATGTGTTTTGATTGTTACATAAATCCCAAGGCTTTTAATTTTAGCATCTATATTAAGAAACTTTGAAAGGGAAGTATTGACTTGATTAAAACCTTGTAGATTATATGTAGGGTGCCTGTGTTTGGACTTTGAAAGTGAGGAGAAAAATTGGAAAGTGTTTGAATGATAGGGTTTGTTCTATTCTTAAAGTAAACCAAGTGATTTTTAAATAAATTTTAGTGTAGAAAGGGAATTTCTCATTACTTTGTTGTAATGTTTCTTCTGATTTAATTTTTAAGGCCATTTATGTGAGCCCTTGAAAAGTAAACAGTTCTTATCAAATTTTTAATTAGACTACATGTTTTAGCCTTTTTTTTTTTAAGATTTTATTTATTTATATGAGAGAGAGCAAGTATAAGCAGTGGGGAGGGGTAGAGGGAGAGGAAGAAGCAGGCTCCCCGCTGAGCAGGGAGCCTGATGTGGGATTCAATCCAGGGACCCTGGGATCATGACTTGAGCCGAAGGCAAACGCTTAACCGACTGAGCCACCCAGGTGCCCCTGTTTTACTCTTTTTTAAAAATGCAAATCAAGGGGGTGCCTGGGTGGCTCAGTCGGTTAAATGTCTGCCTTTGGCTCAGGTCATGATCCCGGAGTCCTGGGATTGAGCCCCACATTGGGCTCCCTGCTCACTGGGGAGCCTCTTTCTCTCTCTCCCTTTGCCGTTCCCCCTGCTTGTGCTCTCTCTCTCTCTGTGTGTCAAATAAATTTAAAAAATGCAAATGAAATCCCATCATTTCCTTGTTCAAGACCCTTTAGTGGCATTCCTAATAATAACAGTCCAAACTCTTTTACCCAGGTCCTATCTGTTCTGGTCTCTGCCCTTCTCTACAATTTCAACAACCAGTCAACCTTATTAACTCTACTGCAGACCTCTGGATCTCTTGCCATTTCTCAATCCGCCAACATCCTATCTGCCTAATATCTAAGGGATTTTACTCTTACTGTTTACTCTGAAATGCTCTTTACCTAGGTCTTTGTATGGCTTACGTTCTTTACATTCAGGTCCCTGCTTCACGTCACCTCCTCAGAGTTGGACCTTTCTGTAAATATCCATCCTCTATCATTCTCATGACTTTACTCTCCTTCGTATTTTTTTCTAGTGTCTTTCACTTATCACTACTTGACATTGTTTTATATGTTTGTTATTTCCACTACAGTGTAAACTCAGATCAGAAACATTGTCTTTGTTTACCACTGAGTTGGTAGTACCCAAAGTAGTGCTTGGCACTAATCATGATGGATATGGATGAATAGATTGTTTTTATTTTAGGCCATTCGTCAGTGAACTTACCTTTCATTTAAAATATATCTATTAGATTATGCATGTAGCTAGAAACCCAACTCATAATATTTCTGGTTCATTCAGAAAGAAGGTTCAGCATTTAAAGGTTGGGTAGAAGAGAGTGAACTAATAGATGTCAGAAATAGGAATATCAGCAGAGTGTTGGGGTCAGAAAAAACAGGAGACAAGCATGTTTCCGTAAAGGAGTGATTGTGATAGTGTAAGGTGGCAGTGAGGTTGAGATGAGGACTGAGACATGCCCATTAAATTTAGCATTGATTTCTCTAGTTAGTTTGGTGTATGTTGAGTGTAGCAGCCAGACAAATGGTTGAGGAATCAGTGGGAGGCAAGGAAATAACATTGCTAGTGTAAATAATTCTGAAGTTATCTGTAAAGGGAAAGAGAAAGCAGACAGTAAATAGCTGGTGGGGAAAAAAGGAGGTTGCCTCTTTCCTTTTTTTAAGATGGGAGTGAATTAAGTATTTAAATATTAATGGAAGATATTCAGTAGAGGTTTAAGAAATAGAAAATAGGATAATATGTAATCTAAGATTCCTGAACAGGCTGCAGGGAAATGGATGCAGAGCATGACATAAGGGAAAGTGGAAAAGGTGTTCAGATGAAGGTAGGTTTGTAAATTTGGTGTTTGGAATCTGAAAGGAGAATTCTGACTGTAGCTATTGTTTACTTTGGGAGGTAGGCAGGAAGTGGGGCCATCTATTGTAGGCAAGAGGGAACATGGTTTTGTTTTTTGATTTGGGTTTTTTTTCCCCCTACTTCTACAACTGGGTGGATAAGTGAAACCATTAATATGAAAGGGATTCCTAGGAGAGGAAAACATTTTATGTGGGTGGGGAAAAATAATGACTGTAACATCTTAGAAGTAAATATCAGTGCTTCATCTGGACAGTCTGCTTCCGACTTTTGTATCCTACTCTCCCCTGCCAACTCTGCTTCAATCATACTGGCCACCTTCTAATACTCAAACATGCCCGAGCTTATGCTTGCCTTAGTCTCTTTGCACTAGCAATAGCTGCTTCTTGGACTTCAATGAGGGGTTCAGAACAAGTCTTCCCAGAATGTGCCTATTTTACATGCTGATTATTTTGAGCTGAAGACATGTAAAGCCCAAAAGCCTCAAGAAGAGTTTTTTAGGTTCCCCCTCAACTGCCTGAAAGAATTTACATAGAGGGCCTGGTCCAGGAAGAGAAATATCACCAAAGATAGTTACAAAGAATATGGACTAGATATGGTAAGCTGGTAAGATGGGTAGGGACTGTTTGTTCAAAGTTCTCTCTGTGTCCATTTCCCTATGCATGGCCTGGGGAACATTTGTTTACCAAACATTTGTTCACATTTTCGTGCAAATTGTCTTCCTTCCCTTTGAAGTCCCAGACCCCAACCCCTTCTTTGTAAAGAACTCAAATGGCGTATAAACTTCAATTGCCTGACTGTTGGGGAAATTCTTGTTTTCATTGTGGGGCTCCTGTATGTATGTAAGTAATTAAATTTGGTTTTCTTTTGTTAATCTGTCATAAGTCAATTTGATTAATAGCCCAGATAAAAGAACCTAAAGAGGTAGAGGAAAAGTTTTTCTTCCCCTACAGTTGGCTACCACAAAGGGAAAAACTTCTCTGGCTGGACAGTGCTCACTCTGAGGCTGCTACAGCTGAGAAATCCTGGGACCTCTGAAAAAAATCTGGCAGAAGGTAAGAATTCTTACCTCATCAGTCTCCCAGATCTTTGCCTGCAGGGTCTGGTGGACGCAAGAGTCCTTTGTTTTCCTTTTCTAAATTTAGATTAGCAGGAGGAAATATTTATGGAGCTAGTTACTTGGGTATAACAACTCTGGTAAAGATTTATTATGAGTACTCTTGATTTTTATTGATCCTTTTCCTCCCAGAGATGGTCACTGTTTTTCTTTGTCTCCATCTGTCTCTGGCATAGGCCCTGTAAGACAGCTGTTCAAGCCAACCTTACA